AATTAATAAACCCCAACCCCCCCCAAAAATTTTTTTTTTTTTTTTAAAAAAAAAAAAGCTGGAGGTGCCCTTTTCCAAAAAAAAAAAAACCCCCCACCTTTTTTCCGCAAAAAACGGGGGAGAAAAAAAGGTTTTTCCCCCCCGGGGTTTTTCCCCCCCAAATTTTTCCTTTTAATTTTGGGGGGTTTTTTGTTGTTTTTAGGGGTTTTTTTTTGGGGGGCCGGCTTTAATTGGCCCTTCCCCAGGTTTGGGGGGGGTTTTCCTTCCTTTTTTTCCACAGGGGGGGGAATGGGGGGGGGGTTCCAAATTCCAAGGGGGGGGGAAATGGTTGGGCTTTTTCAAAAAAAAAGAAAAAACCGCCCCGGGGGGGGGGTTACCAAATGTGCCCGGTTTTTTGGGGGTTGGGCTTCCTTGGCCCCCCCCCCCCCCCCCGCTCACCAGGTGGTCGGCACCGAGCTTCCTTTCCTCGATCGCCAAGACCTCGCGGAACAAGGCGTCGGCATCCTCCGTGCGCCCGGCGTCGGCGGCGCACACAGCCACCTGCTGCATCGTGAGCGCGACGTCCAGGTGGTGGTCTCCGCTCCAGCTTGAGTTCCCTCCCGCCTTCTTCTCCTCCACCCCCTCCTCCTGCTCCTGCTCCTGCTCCTGCTTCTCCGGAATCGCCAGCGCGCGGCGCAGCAGCTCGATCCCCTCGTCGATCCTCCCGGCCTTGAGCACGCATGCGCCGAACAAGTGCAGGCTCCTGGCCACAGAGGGGTGTTCTGCCCCCAGCGTGAGCTCCTCCGTCGCCACCGCGCGCCGGTAGTACTCCGCCGCCTCCCCGACCCGCCCGGCGGCCGATACGCACGCCGCGAGGTAGTGGAGGGTCCGCAGCACGTCCTCGTGGTTCCTGCCCAGCTCCCTCTCGCGCACCTCCAGGGACCTGGCGAAGGCGGCGAGGCCCTCCTCGGTCTTCGGCCCGTTCCCCGCCGCCGGGGCCGCGGAGCAGAGGCAGCGGCCGAGCTGGAAGAGCGTGTAGGCCACGTAGACGTGGTCCCGCCCGAGCTCCTTCTCCTGGATCGCCAGGGCCCTCCTCAAGAACCCCTCCTCGAGCCTCTGTCGAACACCCCCCTCTTGCGATGCTGCGGAACCCCCGCTGCCGCCGCCGCGGCCGCCGTCGGAGGAGGAGCGGTTGTCGCTAACAAGGCCGCCGTCGCCGCTTCCCCGTGCCCTGGCGCACTCCGCGAGGCACTGGAGCGTGCTGGCCGCGTCCAGCGACGCCTCGAGGCTCTCCCTGATCTCCAGCGCTCGCTGGAACACCTCCTCCGCCTCCGCCACCCTGCTGTCGCCAAACGCGAAGATCACCCCGCCGAGGTCGTGGAGGGTGTAGGCCATGTCCAGGGTGAAGGTGCCGGGGCTGCCGGCGGCACCGGCGGTGAGCTCTTTGATGGAAAGGGCCCGTCGGAAGTGGCTCTCCGCTTGCTCCATCCGACCGGCCCCGAAGGCTGACACGCCCATCTCGTGAAGCGTGGCCGCGACCTAAGTTTGTAAGAATGTGAAACGCGTACACATAAAAAAATATACCAATATCAGAAAAAAATAGGAATGGTGAGCACAACGCAAAAAACCCGCCAGAAAAAACAAAAAGCGATGCAGTGAACGGCGCTTGGTAGCAGACCCCACGACGCAAGGGGGAAAAAAAGGGAAATAAAAGGATAAACATCCCCGTGCGAGATGACCTGTCAGCCGTGGGAAAACACGTTAACGACCTGTTTGGGGGTTTTGCCAAACAAAATACTTCATGACTCCGTCGCCCGCCAACGGAGAAACGTAACCAATACAACACCACGATGTCCATCCACCAGCTTCCGCATGCCACGGGAGTTCTGTTCGTTGCATGCAAGGGAAATGTTCCCTTGGTCCCTGGACCACGAATGGACCAGCAACGGATTGAAGGAAGCCTTGGTTTGTGACCAAACCTAACGAGACACAAATCGGGCGAAAATGCGGCAAGAAATCGATCACACAACTTCGACGGGCAAACGAGAAGGGTTTGACGGTCGACACCACCACACACCAGCGACAGCAACACACAAAAAAAAAGAAGCAGAAATTTTCCAAAGAATCGGCCCAAACCTCTGGGTGACAGGGGCCCAGCATCGCCTCCTGAATGTCCAGCGCTCTCTGGTAGAGCGCCATGGCGTCCCCGTCTCTCCCGGCGTGTCTGGCGCAGCCGCCGAGGCTGTGGAGCGTGCGGGCCACGTGGGGGTGCTCGACTCCCAGGGCCTCGACCCGGATGGATAGCGTTTGCTGGTAGAGCACCTCTGCCTCGTCCGGGCGCCCGGCCTTCCACTCGCACACCCCCAGGCTGTGCATCGTCACCGCGACGTCGGGGTGCCGGGGCCCGAGCCGCTCAACCCGGACCTTGAGCGCCCTCCGGTAGAACTCGGCCGCCTCTCCGACCTCCCCGGCGTCGTAGGCGCAAACCCCGAGGCTGTGGAGCGCGCGCGCGGCGTTGGTACAGCCCTGGCCGAGGGCGTCTTCCCACCACCGCAGGGCCCGCCGGAACAGCTCGGTCGCCTCGCCGGTACGCCCGGCCTTGAGCGAGTTCCCTCCCAGGGTGTGGAGCGTTCGCGCAACGTCCCAGCGATCGAGAAGGTCGACACTGCCGCCGTCGCCGCCGCCGCCGTCGCCGCCGCCTTCGCCGTCTTCTCCTTCCCCGGTCCAGCTCGAGAGGGCCCGTCGGAGGTACCACTCCTCGTCCTGCGGCTTGCCGGCCGCCGCGGCGCAGGCCGCGAGCGCCTGGAGGCTGTGCGCCGCGTCGGGGTGGGACGCACCGAGGCGTTCTTCCCTGATGGACCGGGCCCTCCCGTGGCAGGCGAACGCCTCCTCCGTGCTCCCGAGCCCACCCGCGATCATGCCGAGGTTGTGCAGGCGGTCGGCCAGCAAGAGCTCGGCGCCGGCCTGGCTTATGCTATCACCGCCCCCGGCCGCTTCCCTCTCTAGCCTCGACTCGGTTACGACCACCAGCCGGGTGTACTTGGCGTGGGCCCCCTCCAGGTTCCCGGCAAGGGCCTGGACCTGCGCCACTCTCTCGAGAACGGCCGAAAACGTGTCGGCGTCGGACTGGTCCATACCGTCCAACATCGCGTCGTACGGCGGCGGCGGCTCGACGGCGTCGTCCAGGCTCGAGAGGGCCCATTGGATGCGCACGCTGTCCTCGACGGGCCAGGCGAACAGGGCGGCGGGGGTGGAGGCGTGCTCCCGCCAGCGGCCCAGCGCCCGCTTCCTCGACAGGGGGAAGCAGGAGATGAGCTCGCGGACGAAGTCGGCGTGCGAGCCGTGCATGCAGTACCTGCCGCCTTCCTCGAGGAAGAGCACCGAGCACTGCTCTAGGACCCCCAAGACTTCCATGACGGCACCGAGGTCGGGTGTTGCTGCTTTTGCTGCCTTGGTGTCGCCTCCGAAGAGCAAGGCCGCGGCGTCGGCGGGCTGTATGCACCGCGGTTTAAGGGGGGCCGGAGAGAGAGAGGGGGGGGGAGGACGCACGGGACAGGTGGTGGTGGTGGCGGTGGATCAAATTCTGAAGTCGCTTCCTCGCGATAGTTAAACGTTATCGCCATCATCGTCAGACGAAAAGTAGCCCGCGCGGGCACGAGAGTACGAAGCAAGGGGAGGACAGATACGGCGCGCACCAAAAAAACAAAACCAACAACAAACCTTGACCGGCAAAAACCAAATACAAACACCCTTGGCGGTTGCGCAATCTGCCCTGAATGAGGGAAGAGGATGAAACGCACACAATTGAATGCCGGGTGCATGTTCAAAACGCTGGAATGCATGTAGGAATATGACTCTTGTCGGCCAATCGGTGGATTGCTTACCGTGAAGGACAGACCCTTCGGCAGGACCGCGAGGGAGAGATACAGGTCCTTTGCCTTGTCGTTCAGGCGGGCGAGGTCCGCCATCCCGGCGAAGAGCACCGCCGTGTGCCACCGCCGCCGCGTCCACTCCTGCCCCCCTTCCCCGCCCTCGAGAAACACGCTGTTGAGTGCCACCTCCCAGGCCTTGACGTCCGTCGTGCCGTGGACTACTCCCCACCGCCCGATGTAAGCCAGGTCCATCACCACCGACCCGTACGACTTGAAGAGGTCGAGGGCCGGCTGCGGGAGCTCGGCTTCCGGGTCCAGGCCGCTGGCTCGACGCAGCACGGTCTCCCCCTCGGCGTCCGAGATGTTGTCCAGCCGTAGCACGTCGGCGTGGTCCCCGCCATCGCCATCGCCATCGCCATCGCCTTCGCTGCGTTCGCCGTTGCGCCGGATGAAGCTCGCCGAGCGGGTGGTGGTGTACAGCACCCACGCCCCGATCCCTTGCAACTCCTCCAGCACCTCCGGCTCGTAGACGTCGTCAGCCACGATCAGGTACCTCGGCCGCCACCGCCGCTGCTCATGGCTTTCTCCCCCTCCGTCGCCCTCCTCCCCGCCGGGACGCGTGATGCCCAGCGCGCCCCGGATGTACGCCGCCCCATTCTCGCGGTCGCAGGCGACGCCCCCCGGGGTTCTCGGCGGCCGCAGCTTCTTCGACGACCACGACGCCTCGCCGCTCTTGAGGACCGTCTCGTAGACCATGTTGGCGAGGAGCAGCATGAGGTCTGGAAGGCGGTGCTCGGCGCCCTTCCCCCGCACGGGCAGCCAGACGATGCCGTCGCGGAAGTGCGCCCGGACGTCCTCCCGTGCCACCACCAGCGAGGTGACCGTCGACTTCCCGCAGCCGGTGGGCCCCGCGAGCCCCACCATCCGGGGCTCCTCGTGATCTCCGAGATCTCCGACGGCGCTTCCGGAGCGTACTCCCAGGCGGGCACAAACATCTTCGACGGTTTCGCTGCGAGGGATGTACCAGGCTTGGATCCGTGGAGCCCTCGACGGGACCTTGACCTTGCTCGCCAGGTACGCCACCCTGTTGCGCTCCTGGGAGACCAATGAGCGAGAGATGTTGCGTCGTGATCGTGAGGGTTCCCGCCCGCGGGGGAGGGGGGGGCGGGGGGTGGTTGAGGGGCCACATGTGTACAAGTGAAGGTGTATCGGCGGTGCATACCGGCAGGGTGAAACCGCGGCAACAAACATTTGTTTTGACACGCAGGACTGGTCAGGGTACAACCAAGGATGCTTCTACAGCGGGCTGGAAGTGTGTAAACCTCTCTTTTTGTACTGCTGCTACTGCTTTCAGGTGTTCGCAGCAGACAGGTTGAAGAACGAGATACGAGACAGCCGCACACGTTAACAAAGCCTGCCCCACCCAGTTTACCATTTGAGGCGGGCGCGAAGAGACCGAGTGTGTAGTCCGGCTATCTACTTCGGTTTACACGCGCTATATTAGGTTGCGGCACTATTATTATGTTTGTGTGTGTACACGGCAGGATACAATTCTCCGAGATCTCCGAGGGGGTTACGCAGATGAAATAGATATGGGTATGATAGACAGACTTGGTGCAGCAGGCTTTGCCCCTTCTTGCTGACGTCTGTCACTCGTTAAACTCTCTAATAAGCAAGGAACTTGAGTCACTCCTTTGTGCAACACGCTCTCGACAAGAGCCCGCGAGCGTGATAACATAGTACACGCGCCGACACCCCAAACACGATATCGTACACGCGCCGACACCCCAAACACGATATCGTGGAGTCAGCTGACGTCGGTAGGGAAAGGTTCGGGAGGTAGGCACCGGAATACAAGGACAGCAGCAGGGCGGTTTTTGCCCGCGCGTGCCAAGGAGATCCAGGGAAAGCATTTGGAACACAAGGACAGCAGCAGCCGGGCGGTTATATTGCCAGCGCGCGTCAAGGAGATCCAGCTACAAAACAATACAGCAGTAGGCAGGAGACACATTGTGCCGCGTTTTATTTATTTTTTTGCGGCGTAATTTGGCGGAGGAAGAGAAGAGATGGCGAGGGAGAAGGACATGACGGAGAGGGAATATGGGCATCTATCGGAGAAGAATGATGCACCGGCAAGAGTAATGGCTGCCGGGAGAACGTCTACCTGGGCAGCTGGTGGAGCTGGTCTCGGTACACAACGGGTGAGCATGATGAATGACGGAAATTGTGCGTTGAGCGGCTACAGCAGCAGTCGCATACCTCCCAAAATCCCGAAAGATTTAGCGAAGGCCGTGAACTGGTTGCGGAGATTGCGGATTTTCCTGGCTAGCGAGGGTTTGGAGCAGACGCTTGAAGACACCTATCCCACTGGCTATGTTCCTGTCATCAGCTGTTTGGATTGCATATACCTGAACCGGGTTCATGGTGCGGCGCTCGTTACGGCACACAAGCGGGCGTGGGGATATCTGTTGGAAGCAACCTGCGGCACGGACATTGAAGAACGGTTGGCTGCTTGCGACTGCGTCCCTGAGGCGTGGAGGGTGATCCGCGAATGGGTTTTGCCTACTTTCGACGCCGAGAAGACATTGCTTGTGCGACGGTTGGAGGCAGTTGAGATGTCCCCTGGCGAGAACCCGAAGCTTTTCTTTGCCAGAGTTGATGGCATCATCAACATCATGCGAGCTGTCGGCATTGAAAAATCCGAGCGGGAAATCGTCCACATCATTGTTCGCCAGCTTTCGCCCGAGTACGATGTCGAACGCAAGTCTATCCTGGCCGACCCCACCATTCCCCGAGCGAAAGTGGAAAAAGTTGTTCGCACGGCATACGCTAACAACGTCGAGATCAAGGAATTGGGCAAATCGAAGGCGGTCGGTGGTTTGGGGTGCGGTCATGGTGGCGTCGGTCAGAAGGGGAAACAACGGCGGCGGCAGCAGCAGCAGCAGCAACAACAGTGGGTTCATCCACAACCACCACCTGTACACCACCCACCTCCTAATTTCCCGACGTGGGGATCTGGGGGGCTCTATGACTGTGGGCGCAACGCCGTGTACCTGCAAGAGGAGTCAGCTCCGCCGCCAGGCGCTCCGATGGGTGCCGTTCATCAGTGCGTGAGGTGCGGGAGGCATGGACACTCACTCGGCGACTGCAATGCGCCACGACGCTTTGAAGGCCACTGCACTGCCTGCGGTGAGTATGGTCATCGGCGCCGCATGTGTTGCACAACCGGCCGCATGCAACAGCACGTGCATGTCGGTGATGGAGAGGGTCTCAACGCGAGTGGCAACGACACTATGCCGTACCAGCAGCGGAAGCGACGACGCTGGAGGAGGCACAGGCACAGGCGTCAGCCGGAGTCGCTCCTCCCCTTTGCAGATGGAGCGGTGGCATGGGGCACAGCAACTGCTGTGGGAGCGGCGACCGGTGGTGGTGGTTTCCCCGCTACGGTGGCGGGGGGAACGGCCGCGGCGCAGGCACTCGCGGCTGGAGCGGCGGCATCGGAGGCAGCAACGGCGGCGAGAGCGGGGACCCCCGGCAACAGAGTCTTCCCCGCGGCGGCGGCAGGGGGAACGGCCGGGGAGCAGGCACTTGCTGTTGAAGCGACGGTATCAGTGGTGCCACCGGCGGCGGCACCGGCGACGGATGAACTCGAAAGCATGAAAGAAGAGCTTGCTGACATACGGAGGCAATGGGGGGAATTGGCGGCCAAGAAACCGGCACTGCATGTGCAGCCGGGCCCACCACTTGTGTCGTCAGCAGGCGTGGCTTCAGCAGCGGAAACAACGGTGGGGACGACGACAGGTATTGGTGTTTTCCCCGACTCGTCGATGGGGGGAACGGCCGGGACGCCGTCAGCTGCAGGAACGGTGGCACTGGAGGTTTCGTCGACCTGCGGCCAGATACCCCCCGCCGTATCAACTGGGGGGGCGATCGCAGTGCCCACATCGGCAGCTACACCGGCACGAGCAGCGCAAGAAGCGGAGGACGCGTGCGATGAGGATGGCTGTTGGTTGGACAATGGCGGCGAAGGCGGCAACAGCAACGGCGGCAGCGGCGACGGCAGCTTCGTGGCGTTGTCTGCGGGTGCGGGTGCGGGTGCGGGTGCGGGTGCGGGTGCGGGGCATCCCGGCGCCCATCCGACCGTGTACAATGGTATCTGCGTGGTGCGGGACGATGGGGGGTAATGCCAGGGCTGGACATTCGATCGTGGCTGGAAGGGTGCGGCATGAATTGAGAGGCTACGTGTTCGGGAGCTACCGTGCGAGATGACCGGTGGTTGCACCATGAGTCTACGCGCGATTCAGGCACGTTCGTGAGAATTATGTTCATTTGGCTTTCTATTTTCTGGGTCGATTTTGTTTGTTGAAAGCCATGAGTTTGAGAACTGCGTCGACGTAGGCTGCTGTGTTGCGATGCGCACGAACGAAAGTGGTGTTTATGGTCTGTGGTACACGTGTTTTTCATTTGTCAAGGATATGGTGTGCATAGTCTAGGACTTCACCGCGCCGAATGGTGCAGTTGATGTTGTTGGGTCACTGCTAGCACTGCTGTCGAAAATCATGGGGGGGGATGAATGTGATGCTGAGATGCCATGATCTTCGCCGCAGTACAAGCAGAGTTCTAGCGGACGTTCGGGTTTGATTGTTCATGTTGTTCACGTTTTCCGCGTTTTACCTGCGGAAAATGAGGAGAAGCCCTCAATTCTTGTTTGTTTGCGATTCCGCGTTTACCTGCGGAGTTTGAGGCAACTTCATGATACTTGTCTGATTCCTCGTTGCTAGGATAAGAAATTCATTTATTTCTTGTTTATTCGCGATTCCGCGTTTTTCCCGCGGAGTTCGGAGGTAACTTCATGATATTCGTTTGATTTCTCGTTGTTTGGATCCGAGAGTTGTTGCAGCAGGGGGGCTGTTAGCGTTTGTGTTTTGGGAGATGATGCAGCAGGGGGGCTGTTAAATTTTTATGTTTTGGGCGATGATGCAGCAGGGGTGCTGTCAAGAAGTCCATGTCTGGATGTTTGAGAAACGGCATAATAATTGGCGAAAGTTTCCTCTGGCGTCTTTGAACGCCGGGTTTTTAACGTTTGTCTAATTGTGCCGCATGTATTAGGTATTGATGACTGTTCTGAACGATGTATTGGAGGAAGGATTTGACATATTTTGGTAAGACATGGTTGAGGCCTATGTGCTTCCGAAGCTTAGTTCAAATTGGTCAATGAGTTGAAACACAGTTTTGTGCGAGGGTTTTGTTCGAGGTATTTGTTGACGCGTTTTGCCAGAGTTGTCCGTCCAGAGTCTTTATGACGTGGCTCTGATGTAATGTTGATTTTTGCTGAGTAATCTTCCAAGGATAAATCTTTCTGTTTGACTACTTGAGAATGTGGTGACGACATTTTCCCGAGAGGGGTGCTTGTTAAGACTCTTAGTGAAGTTCCATAGTGGTAGGAGGAGTAGTAACCTGAAACTTGAATATTCGATAGATCCGGGAGTTGAGATGATTTATTTGTGGATACGAAAGATGAACGGTTTTTAGATTTGTTGCCGTTTTACCTGGCGATATGTACGGAGGATCTCGTAGATCGTATCTCGTACCGAGTAGGGGGGCTGTTTGTTTGTGTACACGGCAGGATACAATTCTCCGAGATCTCCGAGGGGGTTACGCAGATGAAATAGATATGGGTATGATAGACAGACTTGGTGCAGCAGGCTTTGCCCCTTCTTGCTGACGTCTGTCACTCGTTAAACTCTCTAATAAGCAAGGAACTTGAGTCACTCCTTTGTGCAACACGCTCTCGACAAGAGCCCGCGAGCGTGATAACATAGTACACGCGCCGACACCCCAAACATATTATAGGTGTAAATCGTAGCGGGGTGTACCCGCGCTACCTAGCTCCTGTTCAGCTTGTTTCGTGCGCGAAACTCTTT